AAAATAAATTTTTTTTGTCTCTTTCTGCAAACCTTGTATTATTAAAAACAAAAAAATCTGCAAAACAGAATCTGTTTAAAATAAATGGGGAAAAATACGATTTGTCTGTATTTCCTCTTGAACGTTGGAAATTAATCTTAGAAGTTTCTCAGGTCTGGCAAAAGTACTTTTTTTTTCCTGATTGTGAGTTGCTAGGTAACATTCACACACACAGACACGCACAGATATGTGTTACCTCCCTGATGACTTCCTTTTTAGTTTTTTGGGGGGTTGCTAAAGGTTTGTCCCCCCCCATCCTCTCAGTCATTCCTCTTGTAAAACACACACACACATACACACATACACAAGCTGCAACCTCTCTTCTTTCTTGATTGAATCTGTCGCCCCCTGGTGGTTGGGAGCAGTAACTGCGCTGTGCTTGGTAGGGAGCTGCAGACACTTAGAGCCCCACTGGTTTGAGGATTGTTTGGAGACAAAAAACCAGCATTGTAAGAAACACTTTAAGCCCTATGAATTTCCTTTTTCTTTTGTTAATTTCAGGTTTTCTTTTCTTCTTTCTTTTAAAGCACAGATGGAATGCACCCCTAATAGCGCATAGCTGGCTCTGTACAGACAACATTTAAGAATTGTATATTTAAAAATATGAACGTGTAAAATTTAAGAGAAACACACGCCTTTGTTGTTGGGTACAGAAGGAGCCAGGTGTTCATATTTCTTGTGTGTAGGTTTCTTTTTTGTTCGTTTGTTTTGCGTTCCTGATGTACCATTGACAGGTTTTTCCCCCTCTGTTACATTTGGATTGTTTTTCTTTTAAAAACTAACTGCATTGGTTTGTCTTGTTAAGAAGTGCAGTACAGAGATGACCTGCAGAATCACACCTTAATTTGATCTTTTCCACTTTAAAATCCTCAGTGTAGCAGCAGTGTACGACAACTATTCCTGTATATTGCCTTTTTGCTGGAAAATGTATGTTGAATAAAAATTTTCTATAAAAACAAATAGTCGCACCGCTGCTACTTATCCGTGCCAGTGTGCGACCTGTGATTCCCGGTATTTGCCAAAAAATTACTGCAGAAATTTAAGCTGTTATAAATGACTTGTTGACCTCAAATCTGTCAAAAAATAGCTATATCATATATCACGAAGAATATCAAGTAATGTAGAGCCAGAAATGACAAGTGACTTTTACATATCCTTTATTTATCTGGGTAAAAAGTGTCATTAACATTTAAGTGTTTTTCAAGATGGATCTAGCCAAGAGGGCAGCAGAAATTGTAAAATAAATAAATAAATAACCTCACACTTCTATGAACTTACTTGAAGTGACCAAAAAGAACTGGACTGATGACAATATGAGTGCAATCACCCAAAGTCATAAAGATACTTCAAAAATAGGTAATTTCTTTATTTAGGAAAGGAGACTGCAACACAGATTAATACTCGCTTATCATTCATGCACACATCACATCCCACAAGAATCATCCCCACCAGACTCCCATCACTCATCTGACATTAAACTGCCCACCTTACTAACTGGATGATGTCACAAGATGGTGGGCTGGCTCAAAATAATAGAAGGTTGAATATTAAATGAACAGTATATTAACTTATATAAACTTACAAACACCTGTATCAGAACTCA